TGCTCCTGTATTGGATACATATGTACTTAGCATAGTCAGTTCTTTTTGTTGCATTGATTCCTTCACTATTATGTAATGCTATTCTTTGTATTTTTTTAATCTTGGTTGGTTTATAGTTATAAACTATGTTGGTTTATAGTTTGTTTGTTTTATCAGAGACGAAGATTGCAACCCCTGCTTTCTTTTGCTTTGCATTAGCTTGGTCAATATTTCACCATTGTTTTATTTTGAGCCTATGTGTGTCTTTGCACAAGAGATGTGTCTCCTGAATACAGTACACCAAAGGGTCTTGACTCTATCCATTTGTCAGTCTATGTTTTTAATTGGAGGCATTTAGCCTATTTAAATGTAAAATGAATATTATGTGTGAATTTGTTTCTGTCATGATGCTAGCTGGTTATTTTTCCCATTAGTTGATACAGTATTTTCATAGTGTTACTGGGTTTTCCATTTTGGTGTGTTTTTGCCGTGGCTGGCACCAGTTTTTTCTTTCCATATTTAGTGCTTTCTTCAGGAGCTCTTGTAAGGCAGGACTGGTGGTGACAAAAATCCCTTAGCATGTGCTTATCTGTATAGGATTTTACTTCTCCTTCACTTATGAAGCTGAGTTGGGCTAGATATGAAATTCTGGTTTGAAAATTCTTTTCTTTAAAAATGTTGAATATTAGCTCCGAGTCTCTCTGGCTGGTAGGTTTTCTGCAGAAACATTCACTGTTACACTTATGGGCTACTCATTGTAGATAAACTGATCTTTCTCTCTGGCTGCCCTTAACTTTTCTCCTTCATTTAAAACTTGGAGAATGTGACGACTGTGTGTCTTGGGGTTTCTCTTCTCGGGAAGTATCTTAGTGGTGTTCTCTCTGTTTCCTGAATTTGAATGTTGTCCTGTCTTGCTGAGTTGGGGAAATTATCCTGGATAATATTCTGATGTGTGTTTTCCAACTTGGTTGCATTCTCCTCGTCACTTTCAGGTACACCAGTCAATCGTAAGTTTGGTCTTTTCATATAGTCTGATATTTCTTGGAGGCTTTGTTTATTTCTTTTCCTTCTTTTTTCTCTTATCTTGTCTTCACACCTATTTCAGTAAGTTTATCTTCAATCTCTGATACGCTTTCTTCCACTTGATTAATTTGGCTATTGATACCTGTGTATTCTTTACAAAGTTTTTGTGCTGTGTTTTTCAGCTCCATCAGGTCATTTACGTTCCTTTCTAAACTGATTATTCCAATTAGCAGTTCCTATTAACTCTTATCAAGGCTGTTAGCTTCCCTGCATTGGGTTAGAACATGCCTCCTTAGCTCAGAAAAGTATGTTATTTTGGTAAGCATTTTATGGTTTTTCTATATATGAGATTATGCTGTCTGAAAACAGAGATTATTTTACTTTTTCATTTCTAATTTCTGTTCTCTTTATTTATTCTTCTTGGCTAACTGTTCTGACTAGGTCTTTCCATACTATTTGGAAAAGAAGTGGTAAAAGTGTGCATCCTTGCTTTGTTGCTGAAATTACAGAAAATATCTTCAGTTCTTCAGATTGCTTATCATGTTAACTGAGGGAGTTTCATAAATGGGCTCTACTCTGTTAAGGTAGTTTCCTTTTAGTTATAATTTATTGAGTGTTTTTGTCATGAAAGGGTGTGGGATTTTGTGAAATAATTTTTCTGTAGGCACAGTCTTACTGCTATGCATCTGGAAGAGCCAATCTCGTCTACACCCACCCATACCTCTGCCACTATATGCGTTGTTTAGAGAGAAAGGAAAGCCTTGTGTCCTTCAGAGGACAGGGGCCACTCTGCCAGAACCACAGCAGTGGTCACCTGTGTGAGAGGTTGGGGAGCAGAAGAGGCCCTCATGGATACACCTGTGGACTCTGCTTGAATCCATAGCAGCTGTTACTGCTCTATAGATGTGGACTGGGATGATGCTCCCCTACCACCCTCGACTCAGACATAGGCAAGGGTTCATGGACAAAGGGGAATAGACCAGGATCAGAGGCAATAAGGTAAGAGGACTAGGCTCAGGCTCCTGTGGATAATATGGGATGACAGTTACAGGAACTTACCCCATTTTTTCCAGAGTTTGTGTCTGTGTTGATGAGTCTTTCTATTTTTAAATTTTTTTTTGATGAGTCTTTCAAGAAAGCCACTTTTTTCTCTCACTCTGACCACCTCCAGCTGATAACCCCTCTTTTAGGTTGATTAGATTTGGATGGCCCCAGAGTTTCCATTAATGATTTTTTTTTTTTTTTTTTTTTTTTTTTAGACCCGGTGTTTTTTTTTTTTCTCCCCCTGGTGCGCAATGGCGCGATCTCGGCTCACCCCAACCTCCGCCTCCCAGGTTCAAGCAATTCTCCTGCCTCAGCCTCCCAAGTAGCTGGGACTACAGGCATGCGCCACCATGCCCAGCTAATTTTTGTATTTTTAGTAGAGACGGGGTTTCACCATGTTGACCAGGATGGTCTCAATCTCTTGACCTCATGATCCACCCGCCTCAGCCTCCCAAAGTGCTGGGATTACAAGTGTGAGCCACCGCGCCCGGCCAATGAATTTTAATTTAAAGAAACAGGTGTGGAATCATTGCTTCTTCCAAATCAGCCCTATTTCCTTGTCTCCCATGCCTTAAAGGATCTCAGTCCTGACGGTCACATGAGCACATTTTCCAAGAGGGGTGAAGAAGGCCAGGCTAGCTGCATCCAGTTTCCTGTGAGAATGCAGCTGCTGAGCCCAGTGAACGGTGAGTTTATGACACAGGGTCACATCAGGGGCTGGCTTCTTAGCTACGGTCACCTGCAGACCCCCCAGAGATAAGCCCACAGCATCCAGTGCTGTCCTAGGCCCAGACACACTGAGTCTTTCGGTTACCCTCTGCCTTTCTGTATTTCTTCCACTCCAAAAGAGACCTCTGTGAGCGCGCTTGTGAATGTGCATCTGTACTTACTGCTGTGCACAGAACTCCTGAATCATGACATACATGCCTGCTCCACTCTGCCATTGGTAGTAAAGTCCTGGGATCTTGAACCTGCTGAAGGAGTTCCCTGAACAGACACCAGAGCAGGGAGCCCAACTTGATGAAGGGGAACCCACCAGGAATGAAGGGCTGTGCCCAGAGCTGCCTGTTTCTTCCCCACTCAAGAGTATGGCCCATTTCCAGGCTCCAAATTTCTCTCCTGGAAGCCGTGTGCACTAAGACTTGGTGTCTCCTCTGCTCTCAGCTCACCACCCTCCTGCGTCAAATGAACCTGAAGCTGGTGTCTCACTGGACATAGGCAGAGCCAGGCTGAGCTCTTTTGTCTCTCACATGCTACTTATGCATTCCAGTCTGAACCCCTTCTGCGTGGGGACTGAGGGGCCTCATGCATGTGGTTGTGACAGAACATGAGATTCCTTGTCCAGAGCTCAGACTGAAGCAACCCCTGGGGAAGTCCTAAATCTGCAGATTGAAGAATAATAGAAAGAATAATTAGGGAAGTGGGTAGGCATCATTCCCTGGGAATTACATCACATGCATTTAGTGCAAACTAATGTGCTTACTTGAGAGTACCTGTGTTAAAGAAGCTCCATCTTTGTGGTTAAGCCCCTAGACCCACATCAGTAAGGGAGGCTGGACCCAGCTTTGCCGCTTCCAGGTTGTGACACTGTAAGGTTGCCACATACAGTAAGGGGCACCCAGTTATGTTTATATTTAAATAAACAATATTGTCTTGGAGATAGAGATGCTGTCTTTTTCTTTTTTGACTCAGAGTCTCACTCTGTTACCCCATCTGGAGTGCAGTGGCCCACTCTCAGCTCACTGCAACCTCTGCCTCTTGGGCACAAGTGATTGTCATGCATCAATCTTTTGAGAAACTGGAATTACAGGAATATGCCATGAGGCCCAGATAATTTTTGTAGTTTTAGGATATGGGAAGGTGCACTACGTTGGTCAGACGTGTCTCAAACTCCTGGCCTTAAGCAATGCAACAGCCTCAGCCTCCCAAAGTGCAGGGATGAAGGTGTGAGCCACCGCACCTAGCCTACATATTGATTCTTAATCATTGTTTTACTATGGTTAAATTTCACTGACCTCTAGTGTTTATATTGATAAATTAGAACCCTACCTTCAGGCCACAAACACTTCCTCTCCAATCAGGGCCCATTGCCTGAAAAGCAATAGTAGAGTTTCTGTCAGGATCAAATGAAGTCACAGTCTCAGGAATTAAAAAGTTGTTTGTCAATAGTAAGGTTGTACATGTACTAAAGGAAGCATAATGTGGTTGCCAAAGAGACGCAGACAGACCCCCATGTTTCTACATACAGACCCTGGCTGGGAGGGAACATAAATATCAGCATCCTCAGTCACTTCTGCTGAGGGAAACCAACAGTCCAGGAGACAGGATGTAAGAGGGGAAGGCGCTTTTCATAGTTCTCGTGTGGCATCTTCTTTTTGTATTACCCATTCAAAATCAGGAGACTAAAACAAAATTGTCCAGCACTGGTTAGAGGTGAGTCAGTATTAGCATAAGATGCAGGCAGGGCTGCGCATCACTGGAGAGAGAAGATGAACTGCCTGCAGGGCTCAATACTGTTAGAATCCCCAGAAAATGTATTGATTTTTTTTAAGTTAAAAAAAAAGGAATATAATCTGTCCTAGATGATGTATATGTGTCTATACAAACGTAAAAATAGTCATAAAAGACAAAATGACCCAGAAACCCTCAAAAGTACTAATGAGCCCTTTGTGGGATGAGATGCAATTCAGCAACAACAGGGAGAATCTCAGAAGTGTGCAGAGTGAAAGAAGCCTGAACAAACGGGAAGATAATGTTTGATAACGCTAAGATTCCCCAAAATGAAAACCAAGCAGTAGTGATAGAGAAAGATCTGTGGCTTCCCGGGAGGGATTGGGGGGAGAGAAGGAGATGGCAAAGGGTGAGGAGGGGCTGCTGGGGTTGGACACAGGTTGCATAGCTGGCGGTGGTGATGTTTTCAAGGATCCAGATAGATCTGAAAATGGGGGTCACAGTATAATGTAAATATTGGTGGTTTATTATATGTACATTATTCCTTCTTGGAAAGAATTTTATTAAAGAGAATAGGCTGAGGAGAAAAGAAGCAAAGGGAGTCACCCTGAGGAGAAGGGAGAGAAAGCCACCAGTCTGGGGACGTCTAGAAATCAGGAAATGAGCATTATGGAGACACACGTTCTGTATAAGAGGTGGGTCTGAGGTGACACAGCTAGAACAGCAGCCTCATCCCGGGACTTCAGTGCAGACACCATGTCCCAAGGTACAGGGAACAGAACGTTTTGTTTCCTGGAGGCCCTGTTCCTAGGAAGGAGGTGCTGTGTCTGATTCTCAGAACACAAGAAAAGAGAAGCTGCTACTCCCATCGGGGCCCTGGATGCCCTGGACCATGGGGGAAGCAGCAGCAGCAAAAGCCACAGGCCACGACTGAGCAGCAGCTGTTGAGCGCTCACCCTCCTGGCAGAGGAGAAAGGGGGTTCTTCACTCACTTCCCCCTGGGCCTGGAGCACTGTGGGAGCATCCAGGTTGCTCTCATACGACTGGCAATAATAATCAGCCTCATCTGCAGACTGGAGTCCATTGATGGCCAGGGAGGCTGAGGTCCTGGACTTGGAGCCAGAGAATCGGTCAGAAATCCCTGAGGGTCGCTCATTATTACCATAAATGAGAAGTTTGGGGGCCGTTCCTGGGATCTGCTCATACCGTTGCACAGTATACCTTCCGATGTTGGAGCTGCTTCCAGAACAGGAGATGGTGACACTGTGCCCAGGGTTCCCAGACTCTGAGGGTGGCTGAGTCAGCACAGACTGGGCCCAGCATCCTGGAAGTGGGAGACACACAGGCATCATCATTCTGGGTTTAGAGACGAGGAGAAAGCAAGAATCCATAGACTTCCCAGGGCCCCTCCGCTGGGCCCCATCCAGTCACCTGTGCAGTGAGCCAGGACAGTGAGGAGGAGAGGAGCCCAGGCCATGCTGGAGATTGTCCTGAGTGTTGCCTTCTGTGCCACAGCTGAAGCAGAGCTTCCCCAAATGTCTCCCTGCCCCTCTTCATATCTGAGATTCGGAGTGTCCATCCATGCAAATCAGATTCCCCAGCTTTCTAATCCTACCCTGGGCCCTAGGTAGGATTAGAAAGCTGGGGAATCCTATGCCTGAGGATGTCAGGGGGTGGCAGGGGTGGGGCATTGTGGTCCTAAGGGGTGGGGAGGACCCAGCTGTGAGTCCTGAGAAGAGGACACCAGGCTGGGCATGTGGCTGGTTCTGCTCTAATCACCCCCAGTCTTCTCAGGAATGGTTCTCAAGCGCCTCCTGGTGTCCAGACCAAAAGAAACCATTTACAAGGTGACCAGAATCTCTCAGAGACACCGCTGACTTCCGTTCTGTTCTCTGTCCCCTCTCTAGGTAATGCCAGGTGGTGCCTGTATCCTGTCCCTGTGACCCCAGGGCTGTCCTCACACTTTACTGGGCTCCTCAGGGGTGAATCTGTCCATGGTGCTCTCACCGTTTATTGTAGAGGACTCAGGTGGTGACTACACACCATCATCATAGGTCAGAATCAAACCCAGAGCAGGGACTGACCTTCATGAATTCATTTCCCGACATCAGGACTTCTCCTGTCATGTGGTTCCTCCCTGGTGGCCAGAGCTGTCCTTCCTCTGTGATCCTGCAGCACTGAGTTGAAAGGGAGCTCTTTCCTCTACGATGCCCAGCGCACATTCCCAGTTGGTTATTCTGGTAAAGCTGTGTCCTCTACTGCCCCAGAATTGCGGTCAGTCTCTAGGTTCTGTGTCCAGGCTGAGCAGTGTCTCACATAGAGGAGAAGGTTGCCCACGGTCCCCTCCCTGCCCGTGAATGCTCTTTCTTGTGGATGCCGTATCACCTCTGAGAGTGAGGGCAGAGAGACGAGCAGGTCCACAGCTACCTCTCAGTTCAGCCCCATCCTGGGATCAGTAGAATGTACCCCATGTCATAAGAGGTAGGTCTTTGTTAAATAGTTATTGAGCATATATCTTTTGCTGGGCATAGAGCTCAGTGTTGGAAATACCATGTTGATTTAGAAAGCCTAATCCTTACCTTTTGCAGTTGATCCTAATAAAAACAAAGGCATCAGAGGGGCACCTGAGTCCTCTTCCATTTCCTTAATCCCTGGGTCGGAGACCAGAGAGGCCCTGCTGCACTCCAGGGTCCAGGAAGAGATGATTTGGTGGAATCAGAGGAAGAAAGAGGAAAAGACTATAGGACAACCAGGGGAATATCAGCCTGAACTGAACATCCCTGGGTTCAGGTGAAGATGTAGGGAAGTCCACAAAGTAGACACAGATGCGTAACATAATATAAATAACAGGATCTAGAAGAAGTGGACTCCCTGGAGGAAGGGTTTGTGATTTACAAAGACGCACTTACAGGGCAAGTCCTCAGGAATCCAAGAAGATGTACTTTTGTTCCCCAAGTCCAGGAGCTTGTTTACTGGTTTGGCCTTATCTGCTGGGGCTACTGGAAAGGAAGGCAGGGAGGAGCCACGTGTGAGTGGGGAGAGG